CTTCCTTTAACGGCAGCCCGGAGACAATAGGCGACCTTAAGGCATGTGTCTCCTTACTGCAGCAGCAGCAGCAGCATAGGCCAGCAGTATTTGTTTGGCATGCTCTTATGGGAGCATGGAGAGGCTACACACCTGAGCTGCTGCTGCAGCAGCTGCAGCAGCAGCAGCTACAGCAGCAGCTGCTGCCAATGCTTCAGCAGAACTGCAGGCCTCTTCTGCCCCGGGGTGAGTTGCAGCAGCAGCAAAACAGCAACGAAACAGCGGCAGCAGCAGCAACAGCAGCAACAGCAACAGCAACAGCAATACTAGCAATGATAGTTGCAGCCCCACAGTAGGAGCTCCGCAGCAGCAGCAACAGCTGCTGCTGCTGCTGCAGCACCACCAGCAGCAGCAGCATGAGGAGGACCAATATGTTCGCTGTATTTGTGTGTTTTGATGTGTAGGTGTGCTGCAGCAGGTGCAGCAGCAGCAGCAGCAGCAAAACGAAGCAGCAGGTAGTTTGCTGCAGTGGCAATCCCCATTAAATTATATTTATTATTTTTTATTTATTTATTTAATTAATTATTTTTATTTATTCATTTCTTCTTGTGGTGTTATTGGATGTAAGGTTGATGCTGCAGCATTGCTGCCTATGGCAGCAAATGCTGCTGCTGCTGCTGCTGCTGCTGTTGATGATTATGATGATGATGCTGATGATGCAGCAGAAGCACGTGCTGCTGCTCCTGCAGACCCTGCAGACCCTGCAAACCCTGCTGCTGCTGTACAAAGCTGCAGCCCAGCCTCTACTGCAGCAACGGCGGCAAACAAAGGGACAGCAGCAATATCAGCAACAACAGCAGCAACAACAGCAGCAACAACAGTAGCAACAACAACAACAGCAGCACCACGCGTATTACATTTAGGTGGCAGCAGAACGTATCATCACTACATGCATGCAGTAGCAGAAGCTGCTGCTGTCTTCGAACCCCAGCAGCAGCAACAGCAGCAACAGCAGCAGCAGCAACTATATCGGCTGTATACATCAACCCCACAAACGCGCCAAGTGCAATGCAGCAGCAACAGCAGCAGCAGCAGCAGGTGCCGCTGCTGCTGCTGCTGTTGCGATGAACATGACTCTGTAGAAGCAGGAGCAGCGCCGTCACCACCCACAGCAGCAACAGCAGCAACAGAAGCAGCAGCAGCAGGAGGAGAGGGTATATTTGCTGCTGCAGTAGAAGGTTGCAGTATATGCCCAACTATAATAACATGCATGTGCTGCTGCTGCAGTTGTTTGCTGCAGCATAAACACTTCTTAATAACAAGAACATCTAATGATCATAAAACATATAATGTAAATATCTCCCTCCTCCTCCTCCTCCTCCTCCTCCTCCTGCTGTTGCTGCTGCTGCTGCTGATGTTGTTGTTATGGCTGTTTTTGCTGCGGTTATTTCTGCCGCTTTTGTCGTGATTACTGTTGCTGCTGAGGTTGTTGCTCCTACGGGTTGCTCTGGGGTTTAGGGTTTAGGGTTTAGGGTTTAGGGTTTGTACTACAGGTTGAGGAGACAGCCGCTTCTTGCTGCGCTCACATTTGGGCAAACGCAACAGCAGCACTTTGGGCTGGGGCATTCATGAGATGCGGTGAGGGTTTAGGGTTTAGGGTTTAGGGTTTAGGGGTTGGATAGGCATACAACACGAGGAAATAGCACATGACTTCAGCCGCATTTCACTTCTCGAGCCATCAACCCTAAACCCTAAACCCTAATAAGCTCTAATAAACCCTACTAAGCTCTAAGAAATCCAAATCAACCCTAAGAAACCCTAATACTGCCTATTAAAGTCCTCTATGCCCTCGTAAACCCTCGTAAACCCTAGGGTTTGTTGTTGCAGATTGGGACATGTTCTCCCTTTGTCAATGGCACTCAAACCTCCAAGCAGCCGCGAGGGTTTTAGGCGGCGGCCCTATTTATATATCGGATACTCCTGAGGAACTTAGAGCAAACCCTCAACCTGTAAACCCTAAACCCTAAACCCTAAACACCAATTGGCAGGTACACTCTTAGGCTTGCATGCGGAGAAAGGCGTGTTTTTGTGCCGTGCTGCAAAAAGGGAAGAGGCGCTCCTCCATTTAGGGTTTAAGCACAGGGTTTAGGGTTTAGGGTTTGTGCTGCAGCGGCAGCTAATAAAGCGCCTATGTATGGAGGCCCCGCAGGGGCCCCCTGAGGGGCCCCCTTGGCAGTTGCTGCGATGTATCTCTGTTGGGCAACCAACAGAAGATTGTATCTTCCTTGACCCCACCAAGACTCCAGTCGGGTAAACCCTAAACCCTAAACCCTAGACAGTACCCTCTACAAGGCAGACTGCCACAGACTGCCACAGTCTGAAATTCAGCGACTGTTGTAAGCTACCACATAGCTGGATGTCTAGGGTTTAGGGTTTAGGGTTTGTATTTTAGGTACAAGATATGGAATGTCTGCACTGGGGGTTTCCTTGTTGGTGTTTTTGGGTTGTGTGATAACCACGGAGGGGGCCCATACACCGCGCTGCTGCAGCAGCAGCTGCTGCTGCTGCTGCAGCAGGAGAGGGGCCCCTGGATACAGCTGAATAGCCCCCCTCCTACAGACCTCCTCTGCTGCGACCTTGAAGAGTGGAATGCTGCACCCCTCCATCCCCAGTAAACCCTAAACCCTAAACCCTAAAGTAAAGTGGTAGCGCAACGCGTGCCTGTGCAGCCGCTAGCTGGAGACGAGTATCCGTGGGCATTAGGGTTTAGGAATATGAGGGTTTGGGATCTTGAGGGTTTAGGGTTTAGAAGTTTTAGGGTTTAGGGTCTAGGGTTTAGGGTTTGTCTGCAGGCATCCATGGGTAGTATCTGTCTATTATTCAGCTTATCGTCTTTTTTCAATAACACCAATTTATAATTTATTATGTAAACCCTCTAAACCCACTAAACCCTCCAAACCCTCTAAACCCTCTGTTGGTAACGAACAACTAAACCCTCGTCGTGTTTCCCTCATTGGTATAAAGGATGCATTTGCTGCTCCTGCTGCATTTCTATTTCCTCCGACTCTTATACATTTTAATACAATAACCCAGCAGCAGCAGCAAGAGCAGCAGCAGCAGCAAGAGCAAGAGCAAGAACAAGAACGAGAGGAAAAACGGCAGGAGGAAGAGCAGCAACCGCAGCAGGGGCATCAATCTCAACAGCACCAGCACCAGCAGCAGCAGACCTTGCTGCTGCAGTTGGAGCAGCCAGCTGCTGCTGCAGCTTGTTGCGTTGACTCACAGATGTCTGCGAAGGAATTCAATGGAGACATCGTATTGCCTCACAGTGGCAGTGTAGGCAAACCCTAAACCCTAATTCTAAACCTGATCAGCATATGACTATCCCTTTGCTTCCTTCTTCCTTCATTCTTGTCTTTGGTTTATTATTGTTGGTGCCTGCTGCTGATCGATTGCACCGACTACTCTAGGGTTTAGTGTTTAGGGTTTAGGGTTTAGGGTTTAGGGTTTGTTGTTTGTTTCAGGGTTTACTTGCTCAAATGGCTACTCAAGGGTCTGTGGTGTTTTGGTATGATGGGCCTGATGAGCCTTGCTGCCTTCTTGTAAACCCTAAACCCTCATGCACAGACACACAACAGACTGCTGCTGCTGCTGCTGCTGCTCTTCCTGCCGCTGCTGCTGGTGCAGCAGCCGCGGGACACCCCGCAGTTCAGGACCTCTCGAAAGGTGGAGTCCCTGAACAGGCCCCTTTGCAGCAGCAGCAGCAGCATCAGCAATATCAGCAACAGCAGCAGCAACAACAGGAAACACAGCAGCAGCAGCAGCAGCAGCACAAGCAGCAATCTCCTTTGTCTCTGTGGGGTTTGGAAGTTCTTGCTGCTGTGTTGACAACCACAACGTCTCTCTGCCGACGATACCCTTGCTGTTGTACTGCAGCAGCAGCAGCAGCAGCAGCAGGATCCGGGGCAGCGCTAACAGCAGCAGCAGCAGCAACCGGAGAAACAGCACCAACAGCAGCAACCACAGCAACGCCTGCTGCTGCTGCTGGTGGCCCCATCATGCATAGGATTCTGAAACTTAGCAGCAGCAACTGCAGCAGCAGCAGCAAAAGCAGCAGCAGCAAAAGCAGCAGCAGCAAAAGCAGCAGCAGCAAAAGCAGTATTTCCTTTGAAGGGTTTTGCTGCAGCCAATGCTGCGGGCCTCTTGTTGCTGCAGCAGTGCAGCCAATAGAAATTCCTTCTCTTTATTTGCTGCAGCATTGCCACTATGGTGGTAAATTGTACACAATTAACATAAAAAGAGGAGATGTACTGTTGCTTTACTGATGCTAGCTGCTGCAGGAGCAGGTGCAGCAGCAGCAGCAGCAATACGTGCTGCAGCAGTTGCACCGGTAGTTGCAGCAGCAATTGTTGTAGTTGGATTTTGCTGTTGTTGTTGTTGTTGCTGCTGCTGCTGCATGATGCAGATACAGATGCAACGATATATGATGCAACAACAGCATCAGGAATAACTACAGCAGCAGCGGCCGCAGCAACTGCTGCTACCACTAATGTTGAGTCAACCTGCTGCTGCTGCTGCTCACCATAAAACTGCTGTACAGCCACTAGTTTTGACCCCCCCGCTAAGAAACATACGGTTTAGGGTTTAGGGTTTAGGGTTTAGGGTACACACTCCTAGCTGTAAGAGATCTACAGCCAGCATTTTAGTTTTTAGTTTTTGTTGTTAAGAGGTTGTTGTTGAGCGTTTATGGTTTAGGGTTTAGGGTTTGGGTCAAATGGCACCCCTCGCCGATTGGAGCTGGCTTAGGGTCACTCCTTGTGGGGGGCTTGAGAAACACTAAGCCATAAACCCTAAACACTAAACCCTTGGATCTAAAACTGAAGTTAAAATATTATTTTTTATATTTATATTGTTACTTTTTAATTATTTCTTTTCAGTGTTTCTGGTGTTGCAGTACAAACCTCAATTCAGTGTATCGGATTTAGGGTTTAGGGTTTAGTACCTGGCCTCTGGGGTTTAGGGTTTAAGGTTTTATCCCCATTGGCAGCCTTTCCTCCAGCTCGAGCAAGTTGAGTTGCCCCAAGGCATTAAAAGATTGAGCCTCGCGTTTTAGGGTTTAGGGTTTAGGGTTTAGTGTTTAGGTTTTCGAGCATGCCGCACCAATGGCCTGCTGCTCGTGAATCCCCTTCAAGGGACCCAGAGGAATCGGCAAACAACGAACAGCAGCAGCAGCAGCAATCTGATGGAAGTAGTGATGCACACAAGACAGCAGCAGCAGCAACAACAGCAGCACCAACAGCAGCCGCAACAGCAGCAAAACGTCGCTGGTTTACTCCATGCGATACAGGATGGAGGTCGAGGGGGAAAGTCAAAATGACTTTGGTGCTGCTGCTGCTGCTTCTGTTGCTGCTGCTGCTGCTGCCTCTTCTGTTTTTTACCGAGCAGCTGCTGGCGTTGCTGTCTCTCGACAGCTCTTCAATCTGGTTGTTTCCTCAGCAACAGCAGCAGCAACAGCAACAGCAACAACAACAGCAAAAGAAACAGCAGCAGCCGCAGCAAGTCTTTCACATTCAAGACGAGCAAGTTCCCAGTGATTGGCCTCCCGCCCCGCTGCCGCCGCCTCCTGTGCCCCCAGAATGCCAGTAAGCCCTAAACCCTAAACCCTAAACCCTAAACCTTAGACAAAGGGATCTTTCATTTAAGGAGGTTTACGATTTTCAAGGTGTAGGGCAAATTAGTAATTAGTGTTTAAGGCAGCGAACTAAGTGTTTGAGGAAGATCAGGGTTTAGGGTTTAGGGTTTAGGGTCTGTTTGCCTTGCAGGGCATTCTTTGAGGGAAACCTTTCTCTCTCTCCAGCAAGTATCATCGTAGCAGCAACAGATAGCGACTTGCTGCTGCTGCAGCAGCTGCTGCAGCATCTGCTGCAGCATACACCACATCATCTGTTGCAGGAGGTCCTTGTATCTCCGTACCAGCAGCAACAGCAGCAGCAGCAAAACTATATCCTTAGAAATGGGGGGCCCCTCGAGCCGTTGATGGCGCTGCTGCAGCAAACCCCCAAAGTTATTGTATTGCATGAAACACAAAAGAGTAAAACCCTAAACCCTAAACCCTAAACCCTAAACCCTAGGCAAGTAAGTGTCTTAAAGGAGTGTTTTCTATTGATGGGCGCCTGAGGCGGCAGCAGCAGCAAAGCAGGGAGGCATCCCCAATGCTTATGGTTTAGGGTTTAGGGTTTAGGGATTAGGGTTTGTGAACTTTTTGCAGCTTATGCTGCTGCAGTTCGTGCTGCTGTTCGAGCAGCAACAGCTGCTGCAGTTGTTGTGTTGCCTGCGGAAGCCCTTGTCTCTCCTCATTGGCTACAGCCGATGCTGCTGTTGCTGCAGCAGCAACAACAGCAACAACAACAGCATATTATAGTATATCCAGCAACAGCAAAACAAAGCCAAATGCCGGGGGGCCCCCTAGGGGGCCCCTATTGCCACAGGGGTACGCTGAAGAAGGGTTCTTCTGCTGTTGTTCCTGCATTGTTCCAGCGGCAGCAGCAGCAGCAGCCGTGTTGCTGGAGGTGTTGCTGTACTGTTGCTGTTGTTGCCTCTACAGTATTGGTGCTGCTGTTTCATTGCTGCTGCTGTTACTGTGTTGCTGCTGCTGCTGCAGCGGAGCTCACCTGGGCCCTCAACAGGAGGGAAGTGCAGAAGGCAGAAGAAGCAGCAGCAACAACAACAGCAGCAACAGCAGCAAAAGCAGCAGCAGCAGACATTGTGACTTCTTCAGTGCTTCCTATTGGAGCATTTGCTGCAGCAAGAGAGTTGCTGCTAGCTGCAGATACACCCGAGCCGCTGCTGCAGCACAAAGATGGAGTGTATCTTGAAGTTTCTCTTCTTGCTGCTGCTTGTCAGCTGCCTGTACACTGCACACGATGCAGCAGAATATACATAGCAGCTGCAAACCCTCGTCTAAACCTCGTAAACCCTACACCCTAAACACTAAGCACTAAGTGTACACGGCTGTGGCTTCGGGTAGGCTAAAGAAAAAGACGCTATTTTGTGGTGTGATTAAGTAGAGGGAGCAGCTGAGGGTTTAGGGTTAAGGGCTTGGGGTTTTGGGTTAGGGTTTGTGGAGTTTAGGAGGAGGAGCGATCTCTCATACAAGCCAAGATGAGGGTGGCAGAGGCCTGGCTAGGAGATATTGCAGTGCTTCCCTGGTAGGGTTTAGGGTTTAGGGTTTAGGGTTTACGACTTTCAGATTTTCTTATTCTTCCAATATATTCCTTTTTTTCTGTCTTTTTCTTTCAATTATATTTATTCATTCATTTATTAATTTTCTTTAATTTTTCTTTAATTTATTATTATTTATTTATTATTTATTTACTATTTTTTTATTTTATTTAATTAAATTATATAAATTGCCTTCCCTGCAGGACTTCTTTAGGAGAGCCAAATATACCCTTGGGGGGGCCCCCACGTCCTCTGTCTGTTCGCCTGGCAGCAGCAGCAGCAACCGATGCAGCAACACAGGCACCAAATGCAGCAGCAGGTACTCGAGAGGGAAAGGGAACGAAGGATGCAGCCGAAGTTGCTGCAGCAAGAACAGCAGCAGCAATAGGAACAAATGCGTATGCACTCTTAAGACACTGCAGCAAAGATCCAGCAGCAGCAGCAGCAACAGCAGCAGCAGCAGCCGGATTGCTGCCAGGACCCCCAGATGTTCGACTCCAGCATCAAATCCCATTACTGGGTAAGGAGCCTCATCTACCCACAACCTAAACACTAAACCCTAAACCCTAGACGATATTACTAAACCCTAAACCCTAGACGATATTTCTTTTTCGTCCTCGGGTTTAGTTGACTGCTGTTTTCCAGGGTTTAGAGTTTCCCACGGCGTGCTATTGAGGGTTTGTCATAAGATTTCCCTTCCCCTCCTTGTCGTACCTAGGGTTTAGGGTTTAGGGTTTGATGCTGTCCTTAAGGAAATATAAAATGGTTAGGAGGAATTCATTGGCCGGCGATTTGTTTAAATTTTGAATTTAAATTTTCCTTTTTTTTCTCCGCACAAACCACCACTAACTGCAACGAAGAATTGAGTATCTTTGCTGCTGTCTTGCTGCAGCAGCAGCAGCAGCAGCAACAGGAGCATCAGTATGTGCAGATTCGCAGTGTTTCTGCAACACTAGCTGAGAGTTGCTTAAATGGCCAACTCGTTGCAGCACCATGTGACAGCCAAAACCCCGACCAGTGGTCAGACCCTAAACCCTAAACCCTAAACCCTTGAACAGTCCCTAACCGTTAAACCTATATCCTAAACCCCAAGCCTTACGTCATTTGGCCTTAAGTCTTAGCCCTAAACCCTAAACCCTACTCCGCAAAATATACACCGTTAGCTCCTACACCCTAAACCGCTAAGCTACACAGAAGCAGCAGCACATTTGCATGCTCACGGCAGCAAATTGTTGCAGGTGGATTTATACTGAAGATCTGCTGCTGCAGCACGCAGCAACCAGCAGCTGCCTGTCTATCCACAAAAAAGAGCTGCAGCCGCTGCTGCAGCCCTGTGACCCAAAAAATGTTTACCAGGTACACGCTGCTGCTGCTGCTGCTGTAGTGATTCCGTTGCTCATGCTGCAGCCCGTGTGACGATTGTTGCTACTCTTGCAGCAGCTCCTGCTGCTGCTGGTTTGACGGTTGTTGTTGTCGTTGCTGCTCTTTGTTGTTGTTGCTGCTGCTGCTGCAGCACTGGAGGTGGCCTCCATCTGTCTTCCGCCGTTGGCTCTATCTTGGCTCTGAGGAAAGGCTGAATGCAGCATCTTTCTCGCTGCAGCAGCAGCAGCAGCAGCAGTTGCTGCGGTTGCTCGAGATAGAGAAAGAGAAGCAAAGCAGGCGAAGCCGTAGGAAACCCTAAACCCTAACACAACCACCAGCTCCACAGGCAGTCATCGCCAACTCAGCTGCCTCATCGTCTTCAGCAGCAGAAGAAGCAGCTGCAGCAGCAGCAGCAGGAGGTTGGCTTGATGCTTCTTTTAGCAGAGCTTCGACCTCAGTAGGAAGGGAGAAACCATCGTCTTCTTCAGTCTGTTGCTGCTGCCGCTGCTGCTGCTGCTGCTGCTTGTCCCCGGTTGAGATGCCTCGAGCAATTGGATCCGCAGCCATTAGCGGCATCATGGCCTGCAGCAGTAGCACCAGCAGAAGCAGCAACAACAACAGCAACGTCAGCAGAGGCAGTCCTAAGACAACAGAAAGTCAGCAGTGGCAACAGCAGAGCAGCTGTAGCAACGGCAGCAGCAGCAACAGCAGCAGCAGAAACAGCAGAACCAGCAACAGCAGCACCAGCAACAGCAGCACCAGCAACAGCAGCACCAGCAGCAACAACAACAAACCTTCTGGAGGTTGCTAAAGAGGTTTGGAATTTCTTTCTCTTGTTCGCTAAGCAGCATCTTTACGCGATGACGCTGCAGGCAACCACCAAACCCTAAACCCTAACCCTAAACCCCAGTAGAACCCTTCTGCCCCTCCAAAACCGTTTATGACTACGAACATGGAAGCATTCTACAAGAATTAATGGTTTAGGATTTAGGGTTAACCAAGCATGCAGAACAGTTTTTGATGCACAACACTAGGGTTTAGGGTTTTGGGTTTAGGGTTTACTTCTTTGGGGTTAGCGAAGCATGCAGGGCAATTTTCATGTATGACGGGCAATTTATTTTTTTCTGCAAATGTTTGGGTCTGAAATTCCCTCGTAAATGCCAAAGGGCGAATAACTCGCAAATCCCCAGCATCTACGTAGTAGTGACACTGCAAGCACAAACCCTAAACCCTAAACCCTAAACCCTAAACAAGAGAAACCCGCTGAGCACAGCGGTGGAGTCGCACTGCTTGCGCAAACCCTAAACCCTAAATCCTTAGCCCTTAACCCTCAACAAGCGCATCCATCTGGCTGCGATGGTTTGAAGATACTCCTGACACAAACCCTAAACCCTAAACCCTAAACAACGACAACACCGAGCTGCAATTTCCGTTGCTTAACCTCACATCAATAAAAATACAAATATAAATATATAACTAAATAATTAAATAATTAAATATATAAATAGATAAAATAAATACAAATATTTTATATTCTTATTTATTACCTTCATTGTATTTAGTTTTCCGTTGTTAAATGCTGACATAACGAATGATTCTGCTAAGTCGTCAAGATGCTGACCCAATGCCAAGACATTAAATCCATGCTGCAGCGGCAACAGCAGCAACAGAAGCAGCAGCAGTAGCAGCAGCAGCAGTAGCAGCAGTAGCAGCAGCAGCAGTAGCAGCAGTAGCAGCAGAAGTAGCAACGGCAGCAAATGCAACAGAGGGAGAGGTGGCGATACAGCAGACAGCAGCAGTGCAGCATCAAAATAGCAAACACCCATACACTTCAAACACTCCAAATACGCCAGCAGCATCATCAATAGCAGCAACAGCAACAGCAGCAACGGCAGGAGCAGCTAACCTTGCGCATGCATGAGTATAGCAGGCCACGTCTCATTCTTGAGCAAAAGGCACAAATCGATTGTCTTTTCATATACTGACGAGCTAAATCAAATATAGGCAATTGAAGCCAATACCAATCTATACCTGCAACAGCAGCAGCAGCAGTAGCAGCAGCAGCAGCAACAGCAACAGAAGCAGAACTTTTAAGGTCCCTAGGGTTAGGGTTTAGGGTTTAGGGTTTAGGACTATTATTGTTAGGGCTTAGAAATTTTTCGAATTTTTCGAATTTTTGAAGTTTTTAGTGTTGAGGGTTTAGATTTTAGGGTCTAGGGTTTAGAATTTAGGGTTTAGGGCTTAGGGCTTACCAAGCCTTTCAAGGTAGATTTTTAATGGTTTAGGATTAAAGTTGGGTGCTTGTGGGTCAACAGTAGCAGCAGCAAGATGGAAATTGAATGGTACTCTTTGTTGTATATCTTTTAATATATGCAGCATAGTAAGACTATCTTTGCCTCCAGATAAACCGACTAATATTCTATCTCCTTTTTTTATCATATTAAATTCCATCATTGCTTGTCCAACACTACGACGTAATGTACGAGGTATAGGGATCGATACAGCAGGACGGACACGTGATAATCCTGCTGCTGGTTCTGCTGCTGCTGGTCCTGTTGCTGCTTCTGGTTCTTTTGCTCCTTCTGGTCCTGTTGCTGCTGCTGGTTCGGTTGCTGCTGCTGGTTCTGCTGCTGCTCGTGGTGTTAGTGGTGCTGATGGTGATGATGCAGGTGGTGCTGCTGGTGATGCTGGTGGTGCTGCTGGTGGTGCTGCTGGTGATGGTGGTGCTGCTGCTGGTGGTGCTGCAGGTGATGGTGGTGGTGCTGCTGGTGCTACTGCTGGTGATGCTGGTAATGCTGCTGGTGTTGCTGCTGGTGATGGTGGTGGTGTTGCTGGTGCTGCTGCTGGTGATACTGGTGGTGCTGTTGGTGTTGCTGCAGGTGATGATGGCGGTGCTGCTGGTGATGCTGGCGGTGGTAATGCTGCTGTTGCTGCTGTTGCTGTAGCTAGTGGGCCTGCTGATCCAGCTGCTGATGTGAATGCTACCGTTGGGGCTGCTGCCGCAGTTGTCTCATTTGCTGCATTCTTTACATGCGCCTCCTCCAATGGCTGTTGCTGCTGCCGCCGCCGCCGCCTCTGCTGGTACATTTGCTTCTGCTGTTGCTGTTGTTGCTGCTGCTGCCGCTGCTGCTCCTTTTTCTCGTGTTTACGGGTGTGCTGTCGATGCGGCTTGCTGGAAAATGAGTAGTCCCCAGTGTTACTGCTGCTATTGTGGCTGCCGCTGCTGCTGCTGTTGCTGGTACTGTGATGCTGCTGCACTTGTGTGCCTTCGGAGATCCAAGGATCTTTAGAAGCCATCAACATTTCCACAGCCCTCCGCAAGCCAGAGCAGGCGTTGCAGCAACAGTGGTTGCTGCTGCTGCTGCTGCCGTTGCTGGTATTGCTGCTGTTACTCTCTTCGGTGCTGCTGCCTTTGCTGCTGCTGCTGCAGCTGCACGTACACAGCAACGGCTCTTCTGCTTGGTAACGCCGCACCTCAAAGACAGAATCCAAAGCCCTCAGGACACCGTCAACTGTCTTTGCTGCAGGTGTAGCAGCAGTAGCAGGAGCAGCGTCTTCTGCTGTTGCTGCTGCAGGACCAGCAGCAACCCACTGCACTGCTGCTGCAGCAACTAGTGGCCTCATATTTGCCTCTTCTTCCCGCTGCAGCAGCTCAATTAGCTGATCATCTCCCTGGTGCTGCTGCAGCCTCCAAGTCACCTCTGCAAACGTCTCCATGCATCCTTCCCGCTGCTGCTTCTGCTGCTGCTGCTTCCAGGCAGCAAGCGAAGCCCTGCCATCCTCAGGCAGCGCAAACCAAACCATAGAAGCAGCCGTTTGAAGGAGCTGGGCAAAATGCGCTTTTTCTCCTGCTGCTGCAGCTGCTGTTGCTGCTGCTGCCGCTGCTGCGGGGGGACCCAATCGAGGCTGCTGCTGCTGCGGCAGTAAAGGGAAAGGAAAGCCCCTAGAAGAACTTGGAGGCAGCCGCAGCAGCAGCGGCGGCAGCGGCTTTGTGTTGCTGCACTTGCGTATGACAGCAGAGGCTACCGTATCTGCAAACTGCAGCATCTCCAGCAAAGGATTTGTTGCTGATGCTGCTGCTGCTGCTGCAGTTGCTGTTGTTCGTCCCTCGTGGCTTTTGTCTCTCCTCCTGCTGCTGCTGCTGTATATTTTGGGGCCGAAGTTGCTGAGCCATACACGGTGTCTGTCGTCTGCTGCCCCCTTGCTGCCTCCCGCAGCAACAGCAGCACTAGTAGCAGGATCCCGATCAGCAACAGCAGCAGCAGCTGCTGCTGCTGCTGCTGCAGTGGGCTTCCAGTCTCCTGTCTCTGCATCAACGGAGTAAGCAGGCAGCAACTTATAGGCATGTGTTGCTACCCATAGCACAGCTAGCATCAGCTGCTGCAGTTGATGTTGCTGCACTGCCATGGAGACACTAACACGTACGACTCCTGGGCGCAGCAGCTCCTGTCCTGTCAGCAGCAGCAGCGCCTCTGCAGCAGCAACAGCAGCAGCAGGTAACCCCACACAAAATGCAGTGTATGGACCCGCGCAAAGACAGCCGCTGCGGCATTGAAGCCCAAAGACGTCACTTAATACCCTCACAACAAAATTAGGGTGTAAGTATAAACCCTTTCCTGCTGCTGCTCCTGCTGCTGCTCCTTCTGCTGTTGCTGCAGCAGCAGGACGCAAGTCGTTGCCATATTTAATTAGAAAAGAAATTATTCCGACGCGAGGGGCTGCTGTATTCCCCACAATTTGAATCCTGCAGACACAGAAGCAGCAAGGGATAAGCGTTTAGGGTTTAGGGTTTAGGGTTTATACAAGCAAAGGGGCAAACTAAAGGTATATAAGGGAATAAAAAGAGACAAGCAAAAAAGACAGAGAGAGATAAAAGGAGACAAACGCACAGGGAGAGGGAATAAATAAATAAAAAAATAAATAAATAAATAATAAAAACATTAAAAGACAACGAACCTTGGATGGGCCCCCCAAACCTTAAGGAGCGCTCTAACAGCAGCAGCCTCTCGGTGTTGCAGCTGCTGCAGCGGCATATGCTGCAGAAGCCCAAGAGCTATGGCAGATCGACAGATAGCAGGGAGGTTAGGGCTGCCTCCTTCTTCTCTTTCTTCTCCTCTATCCATTAAGTACACTGCATGCAAAGATGCATTCGCCTCCTGCTGCTCCTGCTGCTCCTGCTGCTGCGCTCGCGACCATTTGGCGTTGACGAGGTACACGGAACCCCCAGCTGGGTGGCAGGGCAAATCCGACAGCAGCAGTCGCTTCTTAACCAGCAGCAAACCTGCAGTAGCAGCAGCAGCAGCAGCAGCGGTGGAAGCAGCAGTCTGTGAAGCAACTGTTTATGCGATACGCAAGGGCAAAAGCAGCAGCCGCAGCAGCATCAATCGCAACAGCAGCATACGCAGCAGAAGCAACAGCAGCAGCAATGACAGCAGCAACACAACAGCAGCAGCAGCAGCAGTCCCACCTGCCGATCCTGTGCCACCCAGTAGTTTGTGTGGGGAGAAGAAGACTGCATCAGGAGCAGCAGCAGCACTTGCTGCTGCGGTTGCTGCACCAGGAAGACAGCAGACGCCTGTCTTTGCTGCAGCAGAAGGGCAAAGCCAAGGATGTGTGAACCACAGCTTGGCAGTCTCTTCCTCTTCTTCCTGCTGCTGCTGCTGCTGCTGCAGCAAGTGCTGCAGCGGATTAAAATCGATGGGCACATGTGCTGCTGCTCCTGCAGCATCGACAGCAACTAGCCCTCCGTGTGCATGCACAAACTTGCAGACAGAAACAAGAGTAGAAGCAAATATATCAGCATCGCTGCTGCTGCTGCTGTTGCTGCTGCTGGCAAGGAGGGCCCCACTGACATTTCCTGCTGCAGAAAGGAGACAGATGGGGACGAGACAAATCTTTTGCTGTTTTATACCCAACGATTTAAAATAGGAAGAGAAACACGAATAGCAGCAGGCGGGACCCTTGCTGTTGCTGCTGCTGTTGCTGCATCCGTTGTCGCTACTGCTGCATTTGCTGCTGCTGCCGCTGCATGCATCACAGCAGCTGTCTTTGCCTTCGCCCCCCTCCTGCTTCTGCTGCAGTTCCTGATGCTGCTTCCCCTGCTGCTCTTGCTGCTGCTCCTGCTGCTGGTTAAAGCGGGAGCAGCAGCAGGAGACACGTTGCAGCAGCCGCTTGAGGCCCGAGAGAGAGAGGCCCCCTGTTGAAGTATCAAGAGACAGCAACTGAAAAGAATAGGAGACACCTGCCGTTGCCGTTGCTTCTGCTGCTGCTAGGGGAGCTGCTGTTGAGAGGGAAGCAGCACAAGCAGAACCTCCTGGTGCTGCACACATCTGTCTGTCTTGAGGCCAACAATAAGCTCCCGCGTGGGCTGCTGCTGCTGCCGCCGCCGCCGCACCAGCTTGAGTGTTCATGCTGCTGCAGTAGCTGTTGCTGCTGCTCTGTACTCGTGTCTGTACAGACGAAAAAGGCAGCAGCAGCGAGTGGTGGCCTGTGGGGTCACAAACAAACATCACGTGAACATGTGGCTGCTGCTGCTGCTGCTCCTGTTCCCGTATCTCCTGCTGCAGCTGTTGCAGCTGTTCTTCATTTTGTTTCTGCTGCTGCTGCTGCTGCACAGAAGCAGCAGCAGAAGCCTCCAGGTCTGCTGCAGCATGCTGGTAAAGGTGCCTCCGTGCATGCAAAGATGTCTTTAATCTGCTGCTGCAGCGGCGACAGCGGAAGGACCCCCATCGATCCTCTTCAAACACCTCCGTAAAGGCCTGCAGGTAGCTTTTGCTGCTGCTGCTGCTGCTGCTGCCATTGCGGCCTGATGAAGGCGACGCCGCTGCCGCGACTGCTGCTGCTGCCGCCGCTGCTGCTTGAGGACCGGATAGAAGAGATATTGCTGCTGCTGCTGCTGCTGCCGTCGATGCCGATGAATCCTGCTGTCTTGGTGCTGTTTCTGCTGCTGCCGCCGCCGCTGCACTTGAGGGGAGGGCCTCTCGTGCTGCAGCAGCCACTTGTGGGGCGCCTAGCAGCAGCAGCTGCAGCAGCTTTGCTGCTGCAGCAGACGCGCCCGAGCCGCAGAAGTACACAGCATCTTCAGGGCCCGCGTTGAAGTACTCCTTTGCTATTTGTCTGGCCTGAGTACCAAAACCCTAAACCCTATGCCAATAACCCTAAACCCTAAACCCTAGAAAGTGAACCTGCAGGAGTGAAAGAAAGTCGCATGTGGGGATGCAGAGGGGAGGACGTGTATTCTGAGAAGATATGCAGTTTAGGGTTTAGGGTTTAGGGTTTACTTCTTGAACAAAGTAAGTTGCTTGTCTGCCAAGGGCCGCCTGGTGGGTATGTGTATTGGCTGAAAAAGGCAACACGAATTTGTATATGCTCTTCTCTACAGCCCGCAGCGGGCGTCCTGAGCCGCACAAACCCTAAACCCTAAACCCTAAACCCTCAAATTCCAAACGCTAAAACCCTAAAGCCCTAAACTCTAAACCCCAGAGCCCATTGAAACAAAAACCTCCGGCACCATAAGTGATGGCGCCTTAAACCCTCAACAATTAGCCAACTCTCAACTCTAAACCCTCAACTGTACAGCCAGAGATACCCAAAGCCATAACTCCACCGAGCGAAACCCTAAACACTAGACCCGCGGCAGCTCCTACCCGTCGCAGCGAAGTCGAAGTATAGCAGAGGCCTGGGCCCAAATGGCCCTGAAATATACCCACAATCTGTTCTGCTTCTTCTCTTGCTTCTTTTGCTGCTCCTGCTGTTGCTCTCGCTGCTACTGCTCCCGCTGCTGCTGCACCTGCTGCTGCTGCTGCTGCTGCTTCTGCTAAGACTGCGGGGTCGAAAACCCCCGATTTGATTGTGGTTGAAAAATTCCAGGGCCTCGTGGACCCGCAAAGGGTCTGTTGCCATTCTTTAAACCCTAAAAACCCTAAACCCTAAACGCTAGACTATAAACCGGAAATTAGTACTGGTTAAGCCTGATGTCTAACCGCCGCATAGAAAGCCAAAAGACCCTCTTCTATCTTGAAAATTAAAAGGAAAGTAGATGTTTGCTTTAACAAAGTCTTAACCCTAAGCGCTAAACCCTAAACCCTAGACTGCAAGCCTAGAGTTATAATCCCTCGTAACTTCGCCATAAATATGGTGAGTCTAGATTGAAGTAAATGGATTTTTGACAAAATAAGAGAAGGAAGATACCAGATTACTAGATTTTAGTGTTTGAAGGTCAGGGTTTAGTGTTTAGTGTTTAGGGTTTGCGTTCATTGACCGCCCCACACTGGGGGCCCCAGAGGCCCCCTTGGCTCAACTAAAGAATAACTGATGAGAGTTAAACACTAAAAAATGAAACACGAGCCCTTAGAGTTTAACTTAGACTCCAAGCCCTAAACACTAAACTCTAAAGCATAAACCCTCATGCGAGACATCCGAGCAGAACCCCTGGCAGGGGCTAACTGCAACACTGAGTCCTTCTTAAGCTGCTGTCTATGATTTAGCGTTTATTAGGACTGAGGGCTTATTAAGGCTTATGGCGTATTAGTGTTTATGGTTTGTTAGGGTTTAGGGTTTATGATTGGCATGGGTTTATTGAGGTTTAGGATTTATATCGACAGGGGCAATAGGGGGCCCCCAGGGGCCCCCTAAAGTAATGCAGCGACAGGCAGCTGCTCCGCTACAGCGGCTGCTGCTGCTGCAGCCACGAAGACAGCTTGTTTTTCCTATATCTGGTGCGGCTGCAGCTGTTGCTCCTGCTGCTCCTGTTCCTGCTTCAGCTCACCAGTGTGTGGCGGCTAGGTGGACCAGCAGCAACATCAGTTTCACCGGCAGCAACAGTTACAGCCGCATCTGCTGCTGCAGCTACAGCAGCAGTTGTCTATCAACCGGCGATTTACGTCCTCCAAAACTGCAGCGACAGCAACCGCCACAGTCATCCCTAGCAGCAGCAGCTCCTGCTCCTGCTGCAACAGAAGCAGCAACAGCAGCAGATCCAGAGGCTGGCGTAGCAGCAAATGGTGCATATGAAGGCTTTTCGCTTGCAGAAGCAGAAATAACAGCAGAAGCAGCAGCAGCAGCAACAGAGGGGCCATCAGCACAAGCACCAGCAGCAGCAGCAGCAGCAGAACCGCCAGCAGCAGCAGCAGCAAAGTCTTTGATTAGTTTGCTGCATGAAGAAGACTTAGAATTTGGGGGGCGACCGCCGCCTCCTTTCTGTGATTTCCTGTGGGTGGAGGCAAAAGGGGGACGAGGAGGATCCCCAAAACCGGGCTCTTTCCGGTGAGTTTAGGGTTTAGGGTTTAGCTGTTTGAGTTGATGACAGCTAGAGTTTAGGGCTTGGGGTTTACTTGTCATTAGGCTTTTAAACTTCGGATAGTTTTGGGGCCTGCTGTGGGGCAGCGTTTCCGGTTTCGGTATTTGTGGCCAGGGTTTAGGGTTTAGGGTTTGGTGGCTGTGTAGGTCTCGAGCACTTGGAAAGGGCCCTGGGTACGGAGGTCACGGCGGGTCCGTCCTGCTACGCTGCAGCAGCAGCATCGATTCGCTTTTCCCGCTGCAGCAGCAGATTGCTGCAGCACCAGGAGGAGATGGCCACAAGACTAGCAGGGGATTGCATGCTCCAGACACCATTGTCAAGGTCCACCCTAAACCCTAGACCCTAGTGTAGGGTGGCACGAATTGCCCGCATGTTTGACATCAGAGCCTAAGCTTTAAGGGCTAGGCTAGAGTTTAGGGTTCCGGGTTTTGCGTTTGGGGTGTATGTGCAGCTTCCTCCTGGAACGATTGTGCGGAAAAGGATTTTGACGGGGGAGAAGAGCAAAGGCGGCAGATCCATCAGGACCTCTGTCTTCTGGTAAACCCTAAACACTAAACCCTAATTCCCTAAAGGGGCGCATATTTGCTTTTCTGCGCTGTCCCCTATATGTGAACTTGGAGCTTCCGCAGGAAATGTAGGCTCGTTCTACTTGCCTTTAGGGTTTAGGGTTTAGAGTTTGAGGTTTAGGGTTTGGGGTGTGCAGGCAGCAGCTGCTCGAGGAAGGCCAATCGCTCCTGGTGGCTGCAGGTGGACGCGGAGGTATTGCCCCCCCGAATATAAAACAACAAAAGAAGAGGAGAGCTCCTGAGGTTAGAGAACCTAAACCCTAGTCCTCAGAGCATTGAGTCCCTCGCCCTCGCACCTTCTACCCAGCCTGAGGAGCCGCCGCGCTTGTTGTGTGCTGGCAGGTTAGGGTTTATGGTCTGCAGGTTTAGGTTTGGATTTAGGGTTTAGGGTTTTAGGGTTTAGTGTTTAAAGTTTAGGGTTTGTCTGATGAAGGCGGGGGAGAAGGTATTCCTCGAATTGGAGTTGCGCTTAGTAAACGACATTGGAGTTGTTGGCGAAAACGCAGCAGGAAAAACGTCCCTGGTGTCTGCCTTGACAGAGTGAGCTTAGGGTTTAGGGTTTAGGGTTTAGGGGTTTAGATGTCGGATTTTTCGTGTATGCTGAGGCAAAATAGGAATATCTCATGCGTCCATGCTTGGCTTGCGTCTTTCCGTCCCACCCCTCAGTTTAGGGCTTAGGGATTGGAGACTAGGGCTTGTGGTCTGCAGCTATCAGTCGCGCATTGGGCCTCAAGGGTTCCAAACTCGGCGGCCTTTCTTGGCTTCAATTGGCTGGTCCAATGGTCACAAGGCTGTTGTGTTAGATGCACCTGCTCTCTTCCCTGGTGCCCACAAAGTAAGCCCCAAACCGTCAAAACCCTTCAGACCCTCTTAAACGTCTAAATCACCAAACCCTCCCGCCGGCGACAGGACACATGCAACAACGAAATCTCGCTGCTAGGGTTTAGGGTTTAACGTGTGTTGGTGCAGGACAAACGACTGGGACTTCGTATTTTAAGGCATTACTGCAGATCAAGGGTTTATCTGTATGTCCTCGACCCAACCCAAACAGAGCAGCAGCAAGATCCACGTTTGCTACTGCTGCTGCAGCAACAGCAACGGCAGCAGAGCTTGCTGCAGCAGCAGGAACGAGCCCTCCTCGACCAGCAACAGCGCGAAAAACGCAGCAACAGCAACGAGGCCGATATACTATCGCAACAGGAGCAGTGGCTTGAGGCTCAGCAGCAGGGCCAGCACGAGCAGCAAAAGCACCACGAACAGCAGCAGGAACGGAAAGAACAACAACAGCAAGAGCAACAACAGGAACAGCAGAAGCAAGAGCAACAATGGGAACAGCAGAAAGAGCAGCAAAAGCAACAACTACATCAACAACAACAACAGCAGCAGGAGGAAATGGAAGAGACACGTCTTCTTCAGGTGTATGGGGAACTAGCTCCTGATGTTTTCTGCCAGTTCTTGAGGTTGCGGAGGGAATTAAGACTTCATGATAAACACTTCCACAGGAAAACCGAGCTTGTAACCCTTATCCCTAAACCCTAAACCCTAACGGATCACAGAACTTGTCTATGCTCATTCTCTCTCTCTGTTTGCGCCGTCTCTGCTGCTCTGTTGCTCTTTTTGCTGCTGCTTCTGGTGTTGCTGTTGCCCCTACTACTGCTGTTGCTTATTCGTTCCCTACTATACTCGTCAGCACTGGTGCTGTCGTTGCTACTGCTACTGCTGCTGCTGCTGCTGCTGATGCAGGTGGTTGTGACGAAGTGTGATGCCTTAGAGCGGCAGCCGCTGCTTGCTGTCGACTCCCTACACCATCGCATGCGGCATTTCTTCCCCGATATACCCGTTATAGGTGAACACTAAACCCTAAACCATAAACCATTTGCAGCACTGGTCCACTGTCTCTAGCTTGGCGGGAAGCCACATTTTCCGTCTTACTTTTGCTGCTGCTGCTTGGTCTGTGGTGCAGCGGCTTCCCCTCGGTTCGGTTTGGGTTGCGCTGCTGTTGCTAACGAGCTGTACCGACTTCTGGAGCTGCAGCGACAGCAGCAGCAGCAGCTCGTGCCGCTAAGGCGGGTAACCGTCAATCTGGAAGAAACCGCCCTCGCCCTAAACCGTAAACCGTAAATGTTGCAGTCGTATGTGCAGCAAACTCTCTGGGTTTTTAGGACTATCGATTGCTACAGCTGATGGTACTGCTTGTCCTACTACTGCTGCTGCTGCTTGTAAGTCCCGTAGTGCTGCGGTTACTGCATCGCCTACTGCTGCTGCTACTAACTCTCCTACTGCTGTTGCTGCTGCTAATGCTGGAACTGCTGCTACTAACTCTCCTACTGCTGTTGCCGCTGCAAATGCTGGAACTCAAGAATTGAATCCCTCGACGTTCCCATGGCAACGAAAACCAAACCCACGACAGTGTCGTGCTGCAGCTACAGCAGCTGCTGCTGCAGCTACAACAGCACAACAGCAGCTGCTGCAGCTAGAGCAGCCGGTACAACAGCTACTGCCGAAGGCGCGCGCCTCTGTCTAGCGCGGACAAACACAGGCCGTCGTCGCCTTTGAATGGCTGTTGTTGCCACAAATTAAACTAATGTGTTTAATTACTTATTTGTTTATTCCATTTTGTTTACTTAAATATCTTAACTTCTTTTTAGCTGCGCCTGGCAACTAGGGAGGGAATGGGGGCGGGCAGAGAACTCAACTGAAAACCCCAGGAAAGTGTATCCTCGTTGCTGCTGTACTTGCTACTGCAACCGCTGCTGCTGCAATTGCTGCTGGTGCAATTGCTGCTGGTGCTGGTCCTGCAACTGCTGCTGATATTTCTACGTTGTTGCTGCAGCCGCCTTTGCCGCTGCAATATTGGTGCAATTGTTGCCCTTGCAACTGCCACTGTTGCTCGAAGGCAACATCTGCTGCCGACGCTGCTGCTGCACTTACGGCTGTTGCTGCAGCTGCTTATGGCTGCCCGCGCGAAACTGCAAGATCAAAATCTGAAGTAGTAACAAGTCTCCTATAGTAGACAGCATCGTGTGTCTGTGCTTTCTGCTTGGTGGTGTCGATCTGCATCACAACTTCATACAGGGATGGGTCCCGCTGCTGCTCCGTCATGAGGCCCATGCCTGCTGCTGCTGCTGTTGGTGCTCCTGCTGATGCTGTGGCTGCTGCTGGTGTTGGTGCTGGTCTTACCCAGACACGGAAAGCTGCAGGAACGTCATACATGTGACAGGCGGGGGGGAGGCTGAGGCGGGCGACAGCGCTTTCAACTGCTGCTGCTGCGTCTGTGGTATTAGCAGCGGAAGCAGCAGCAGCAGCAGCCGGTCCGGATAGTGCAGCGCCAGAAGAAGCACTTGTCTGGCTCGGCCCCCCAATAAGGACTTCGCCGCGAGTAACAAACACTCGAGGCTGATATGTGGTATAGAACTTCCAGGTACAGCGGTATACCTCCTTGAACTCGAAGAGCGGCACATGCGGTGCTGCTGCTGCCGGTCCTGCTGCTGCTGCTGGCAATGCTGCAGTCGGGTAAGCCGCATTAGAGGGGTGGTAAGCAGCGGCCGCTGCAGCCGCGGAGACAGGAGCAAAGGAGTCACTCCAGTGTCTAGGCACCTCGCAATTAGTCTTATCACCAAAGAATTCGAAGACCTTACGAGGCATAGATTGAACTGTTGCTCCTACAATATATTGTTCCTTTTGGAAGCGTTCAACAAAGAACGGCCTAGGGGGGGTTGTGCTGCACTCGCAGAAGCTGCTAAGCGGCAAGGAAGCAGTCCGGATGTCAACTGATCCTGCAACCCTCCTAGCGGTCGCCGTGGCGATCCTCCATGGATTCCACGAGAATCTCGGGCTATTCTCTAAGAAGAATACCAATAAGTTGCTACTCGGCCTGCACATGACTTCTATAGAGCCCCACTTCAAATCCTGCCACTCCCCCTCGGTCAAGCAAGAAACCGAATACTCCGTCCGACACCGCTCATAGTCCAAATGCGTATAAGGGAGTTGAATGCTAGGCGTTGTGCAGGTCAACGAGGGGCTTGCAGGGGTGGATGTTGGGTAAAAACCCCCTAAATTCGGATATACATTGCTAGAGGGGGGAGGAGGCCCCCAGCCACCAGAAGCTGCCAAAGTCGCATCCAATGAAGAGGAGAGCAAAAGCCCAAATATCGACAATATATAAGCAAATGAAAGGGAACTGCCCATCAATCCTCTAAAAATAAACACGTTATCGCCCAAAAACCCACACAACCAGCTGATACCCCCCCGCCGTCCAGCCATCATCGTTCCTTAGCCTCTAATAACGCCTCTCTACAAGGGCTCTCCACCACTTTCTACTCTCTCTTCCCCCCCTATCCAACTGGATAATCACACAAAATACCCTTCGCACCAACTCCACACAAAAGCCGCACGGGGGAACCACAAAAGAAACGATGCCGCTACGCCAATCGAATGGCGCAAGCCACTGCGACACCTACAGCAACGAGAAAGCGTCTACAGCCTGCAGTTTTCCTGTTTGTGGTTCCCTAACAAAGACCTTCCAAGTTGCTTTATATTTGGGAACAATACGAAAAAGCAAACAATGCGCTGCGAGCGACGCAGAGCACCGGGGAGCTTCGGAGGCCCCGTGCGAGCCGCTTCCAGCTCCCAATCCCTGAACGCTAATCCCTAAACCCTAGACCCTAAACCCTACGCCATAAACCCTACTTAACGGCTCATTAGTCTCATTAAAATAACTAACACAAACACCTTTGCTAACCTTTTCAGAACGTTGCCCTCCCATTATGGCATCTTTGCTACCACTGCCTCGGAGTTTACCGCAGCAAGCTCGCTAAACCCAAAGACATCGAAACCCAAGTGCGGATTGCTGTAGTAGTTTCATGCTCATGTACACATCTAGCCCACTGTTACATTTTCCTTTAAATATTTTTTTGTATCCTACTTCGCGCCTATGCCATCGGCAGACCACTCAGACAGGCGCTAGCTTTCTCTGTCCCACAGTGCAAGGCTTTGTGAAGTTGCCTCAGGAGTAGGCCCTAGTAGGCAGCCTTCACGCAAGCAGAAATCATATTCTACGGTCTCAGTGCATGCAACAAGGAAGGTTCGGCTATGCATGCATGAAAAGCTGTCTATCATCGCTATTTGCTGACAGGCGCGTCGCAACTCCCCTCAGTCAACCTACTAACCAGCATTTAAAGACGATTGGGGGGCTCTGCCCAGGAAGCCTAGAGGGAGACAGAGACGTCATAATCTGTTTGTCAGTCGGACTTATCTTCAATATTTTAGTCCCACTGCAGCTTGTCGACGTCCTACATGGTCGACGGCTCTCGTCGCACCAACAGGGGGCCTCGCTCGTAGTTGGTGAAGTTCCGAAGAGTCCCACAAGTTTAGATTACTTAATTGACAGCACCAGTCGTACGCTCCCCTTCAGTGCTCCTTCAGTGCTCCGGATCTATCTAAAAGAAGCTTGTACGTAGCTCATTTTGCTGAAGCTCGTTCAGGAACTCAAACGACAGGCCTAGATCTTATCCAACGACGTTCGCGTGCTGCAAAGGAACCAAAATACTTAAGAAAAATCCTTTGGTGCAGCTAATAACCCCTAGCAAATTTCGAGGCTTCCTGGGCACGGGAAACCTGCCTCAACTAGGAGAGGCAGGGGCCGGCCGTGGTCTGCAACTCTTGTTACAACTAACTGTGTAAGATAGCCCCGCATGCACTCAGATCCAAACTATCTTTGCTGCAGGTCCTATCACTGCAACCAATTTCTGTCGACTTATTCTTGCACGCAGGTTGCAAACCGTGTTGCGTTGCACCACATCTTCGGCAGCCCCCTCTCCCCCACGTTCTTGAGTCAGTATATTCAGGATGTTTTAGTAACGGAGCAGAGGTCGTTCATTGCCTTTTTAAGACTCCCGCCTTGAGCTACCTGTCTCGATCTGAGCTCACGTCAGCCCACAAGATAGGAATGGAAACTCTCGTTGTATACGTAGACTATCATTAGTGGCAGCAGTCGTCGCTGCAGCTTCCGTTTCCAAGGATACCCACAAGCATGCCATCTGCCGCTTCACAGACTAATATTTTACATAATTGTTGAATATGCAGGACTGGGCAGCCTACACGCACGTGAAAATGCATACACTAACATCAGAGCCACAATGATATATATTGTGCCCCCGATATCCTCTCCCCCAGAGGTCGAACGCTCTCGTGTGCCTGGTGGTGAAAGATGAGCGGGCGGAATTGGAAATTCCACGGGCGTTTGTTGCTGATGCAACGGTACTCCGGCTATTTCACCCGTTCTTCCTTCTGTCTCTTTGGCTGCTGCACTGCGAGGAATTGAAATTCATGTTGTTGGCGTTCCTGCGATGTCCATATATTTGTCGGCGTATCTCATGCGAAATAAAAGCGCATTCCAACTTGCGGCGGTTTTACACTTTCAGAGAGAGCATAAGGTGGCGGTTGGCAAACAAGCCTTAGTCGGGAAACATCCCCAGATGCTGGAAAAAACCAAAACACAAAAGGGCTGTCAGCGGCGGGGGCGCGCTAGGCACATCTCGATCATTGGGCGTATGTCACAGTGGGACCTTTTTGAAACGAAGGCAACAGGAAATGTGGGCGTCCCTACACAAGCAACAGTGCACTTGCTCATAAACATGCTGAACGCGATCCAAATTTGAGCAGGGTAGAGCATTCCCGCAAGGTTGTCGTTGCAGATGAGTCGTGATGCACAAATATATATATTCCCAAAGGTGTGTTATCGAGCAAGCAATCATCAGAAATCTACGGGTTTTTTCGATCCCCAAGGCACAGTACGTTAAGTAATATGAAGTTAAACAATATTACTTAACGTAATATTCTCGCCTTCTGTGGTCTCCGCGAGTCCTGCCGTACCCAGGGTAGCACTTGCCGTCATTTGCTCCTTCCCGCGACTGCGTTCCTCCGACTTCGACTTCGTGGATGTCGCTCAACATAAATTTTGTCATACCTCGTGTAATTTTGGAGAGCCTACATAACCGTTGCGGTCCTCTGTTGCCATCCCCACGTTGGGAATGTATCTAGACTCTATGCCATCGTTTCGATGCCAGAACGATGACAAAGGGCCCTAGTCAAAGCACTTAAAATTTTCTTTGGCAACTTGGCCTGCTGAGCATTTCGCAAGTTCTGTGTATCCATTAGCGCCTAGTCCCCAGTAGTCCCCTGTGTTTAAAGAAACAGGTGAACGCCATTTGGGGCAGGTTGTTCTCTGATTTTCTGTGCGTTCCTCAAACATCGATAATATACAAGCTCTAATTTTTAGCTTAATGCTGTTGCCGCGCTGGGCTCGCTGTGACAATCCAGGTCCAATATCGGGCCTCACAGCAGTGAGCTCTTCAAGTGTTCTGTGAGAAACGCTTTTAGGTTTGGATAGATGCATGTACCAATTTGCGCAGCTATGACTGTGGCAGTTGCTGCTCGTGTCCATCTACCTTTGTCGTGCTGGTTAGGAAGTATACCGAGAGTTCTCAGTGTAAGCAGCGAGTTGTCTTGGGGTGTAGAGGGGCAGTGCTGCGAAAACAAATCATTGTAAACAGTTTCGTTAGCATCCTCCCCAGCCTGTAAACGTCCCGGGAGCACCAGCGCAAATGCCATGATCTCATAACGCGAGGGCAAGGCTACAGATTCTGTCCTGATTTGCAGCACCACTGCGTGCGCAGCTGCTTTGCAAGGCAATCAATCCCACACACACAGCGTAGAAGAGCCAAGCAGCCCTGGCGATGATTTCCCTAATACCGTAGGCAGCTGTCAAAATGTCGCTTGGATCGCCATAGGTAACCTGCACACAGAAAAAACAAACCTGAAAACAAGGTACAACATGTGAAGAGACCCGCGCAGAACGGAGCTGCTAGCTGCCGAATATTACCGATCTGAGGCGTATTTTGCTTAGTGGCGAAAGTTATATACAATAGAATGGAGGCTAATCGATTAAATAACTGGGGGTTAGTTAGAACAAGTCACTGCAATAATTATGCTGGTGTTGTGTTTTATGCATGCATGCGCTGCTGCTGCACCCAGTCGATCATTGACTATGTTTTATTAGGTTTTTCCTTCCTTTTCTGTCTCTAAAAATTAATGTGCGGCAATAATCACCGTATTACTTGTCTCCTTCACTTCTTGGAACACCTCCGTTAGGTGTACGGTCAGGCGCTTTCGAGGCCCCCAGCGGCAGCAGGAGCAGCATCGTTCTCTACTGTCTGCCTTGGCAGGCAGGGATAAGTTTCTGCATTGGGATTTTGATGCATCTTTAGCGCTTTTGATTTTGCGATTTGCTGCTTCTTATTTTTAATTAAATTTCATATTTCGCTGCCTGCCGCCTCTCCGCCGGCCTCAGCCGCTTGGCGCCTTCGCCTGCGCTCCGGTGATCGCAAACTCGATGTAGCAGCACCAGCAACGGCAGCGCCAGCACCAGCAGCAACAGCAACAGCAACAGAAACATCAACAGCAGCAGCAACTATAAGCGGTGGAGCATGAGGATCAGGAACATCGACGGCACGGACCAGCAGCACCGACAGCAGCAGCAGTAGCACCAGCATTGGGCCCCCGAGAGGTGGCATTGGGTTCATTGGCAGCAGCAGCAGCACTTGTACATGGGTACTTTGTTTAAATGCAGGCAGTAGGAGGTACAGTTGTCCTTGAAAATGCCACAGGAGGCAGCAGTGCCGATAGAAGGGAGAGCGACAGAGGCAAGCATTTGAGTCCTCTTGGTGGTGAGGTTGGAGGCACTGAGCTGCAGAGCTACATGGTCTCTGCACCAGCAGCGGCAGCAGCACGAGCAGCTGCAGGCGGTCTCTCCCCCACAACAGACTCGGCAGCACACGCAGCAACAAGTTCATCAGGAGCAGGCGGCATACGCCGAAGGCTGGGGATTCGGGGGCGTCGTGACAGGCGGTTGAAGAGCCTTCAGCGATCTCTGCATATTTCCCCCGCAGCAACAGCAACAGGAGCAGATGTTAAGGGTCATGTCCCTTCTACTGCATACCCAGTGGGGGGGTTCAAGAGTTTTGGCAAAAGCCACCCTAGAGGCTCAGGAAGTGCCAGCAGCAGCACCAGCACCAGCGAGTCGTACAGTTTTATTCCTTTTGGGAGCCAGCAGCTGGAGAGGCATAGTCGTGTTGCCGCTGCTGTTCGCTCTCTGCTGATGTTGCTGCTAACAGGCTTAGCGGTGGCTTGGCTGACGAGGCAGGCGCACATCTTCAGATGCAACAGAGAAGGCCTTGCTGCTCTTCAAGATGATTACCAGCAGCTGCAGCATGAGTTGCAGCAGCTTTCGTTCCCCTTTGCTTCTGGTGTTTCCCTCGCTGAAGCAGAAGCAGCAGCAGAAGCAGCAGCAGAAGCAGCAGCAGCACCTGCAGCAGCAGCAGCAGCAGCAGCAGCCGGCGCAGCAAACGACGAAGATCTGCAGCTCCTAAGGAAATGGCGCAACACACAGGATCGACTGCAGGGCCTTCAGAATCTCATCGAGTCCGCTCGGGAAGGGGTAGCAGCAGCTGCAGCTGCAGCAAGACACGGAGCGGCAGCGACGGGAGAGGAAGAGGCAAACACGCAGCCTCCAATACCTCCCTTGAGCATCGAAGAAGCAGAAGAAGAAATTCACTTGCTTTCCGAGGAGCTTGAGCAGTTAAAGCAGCAAAGAGCTGACTTAGAAGCAATCGTTAAGCTCAAAGCACGACTGCAGCACGAAGAAGCAGCAGTTGCAGTGCATGCAGACAAAGGCTTGCAATGCCCTGCCGCCTCCTGCAGCAACAGTAGCAGCACCAACAAGAGCAGCAGGAAAAATCTCCTTGAGGTGTATATGCAGCTCATGCTCCTGGAGAAGCTGTATGAGGGCCTTGGGTGGCACGCTGATCTGTCGAAGACCCGAAGGCTGAAGATAGCCCTGAAGGAAAGCGTTGAAAAATTGCAGCAAAATTGTGTCGGAGAGCCTTGGGCTGCTGCGCTGCTGCTGCTGCTAGAGCGCGACCAGCTGCAGCAGGAAACATCAGCTGCAAAAGAAAAACTACAGAAGATGCTTGCTGATCCCCCAGGCCGTCTAACGAGACTTGCTGCTGCTGCCTCGCAATCTCTTCAGGGATCTAAGCAGCTCTTAACAAGAGTTGCTTCGCTGCTGCGCTGGCGGTGGGGCAGCGGAAGCCGCCCTGCTGCTATAATTGCTGGTGCTTCGGAGTCTAGTGCAGCAGCGGGCGACGGGGGCGGAACAACAGCTGAAGTTACGGACAGAAGACCAGCAGAAGCAGAAGCTGTAGCGGCAACAGCAGAAAGACTGGCACAACGGGAACAAGAGCGCCAACGGGAGAGAGAGGAGGAAGCGAAGGAGATTGAAGATCTCGAACAAGAGATTGTTGCAGCAAATTCTTTTCTTGCGGTGCAGCTGCCACAACTGCAGCAGCTGCAGCAGCTTAGCTCAGGGGAATTTAAAGCGTGGCTTGAAGAGAAACAAGAACAAGCAGCAGCTCAAACAAAAGGCATTCAGGAAACCCTACACGAACTTGAACAGCTGTTGAATGCCCCAACAGCAGTAACAAGGCAGCGACGAGTTGCCGATCCGAAACGCCAGCAGCAGCAACAACAGCTGGAGCAGCAACAGGAGCAGCAGGAGCACCCTTCTGCGCCGTTCCTTGAAGATTTGCAAAGGGTTCAGGAGGCGGCTCAAGCGATTCAGGAGCGTTTGGCGCAAAACCAGCAGCGGGCAACAAATTAGACAAGAGCAATAAATAGATTGAACAACTGCAGTAAACAAATTGCAGACAAGCAACAAGCATACACCCTAGATATAGGCAGTTGTACTAGGAGGGAGCTGCCGTTGTTGAATGCACTTCCAGCAGGTGGAGGCAGCAGCAGCACAGCAGCAGCAACACCAACTGCAGCAACAACAATGACTGTTGTAGCAACAACTGCAGCAGCAGCAGCAACACCAACTGTAACAGCAATACCAACTGCAGCAGCCCATGCAGCAAATACAGCAGCCCATGCAGCAAATACAGCAGCAAAGTGCGGTAGCAGCTGCAGCAGCAGAGAAGGCTATTCGTTTCGTGTAGCAGCATTTGGTGGCATGTGTGTATGTTTTGCATTTGAAATTGTTTTCTGCAGTTTGTTGCATTTATCTGTTCCGTTTTGCTCCCTTGTGTTGTTGTTCTCTTCTGCCCTTGCGTGTTTTTGCTTAAAAGCATTTAATAATAATAATAATAATAATAATAATAATAATAATAATTATTATTATTATTATTATTATTATTATTATTATTATTATTATCATTATTATTATTATTATTATTCTTTGTTGTTGCTATTGCTGTTGTTATTTTTGGTTTAATTAATTAGGTGTGGAAGGAAAAGCGCGGGGGTTAGACGGGTGCAAACCAATCGCCGAATTTATGAGGCATAAGACGTGGTTATTAGTATATATTTTTTAGCGTGTCAATATATACGCTCATATATAGTGTATTATATACATATATACATATATACACATGTACAATCGTGTACAACCCACTACCTGCAGAATGGCGGACAACATTAATTTGTCTGCAGATGTTGCTATATTGCAATATATATATA